GACCTGGAGAACATCACATTGAGTAAAACTAGTCACTTACAAAAGGGCAAATATTTATGAAACCACTGGAACAAAGAAAAAATAAAGACAAAAGTTTGCATATCCAAGTAAATAAACAGACTTTCATGGTCACCAAGAAGCTGGGGGTGAGGGTGGGTGGGCAAGGAGAGCCCGGGTGGAGGGGAGATGAAGCAGTGGACGAGAGGGTAGACAGGGCTTCACGAGTGAGGGGGAAGACTGTTCCACGAGACGGAGAAGAGAACTCAAAGGAGAGTTAGAGGCCAGGATAAGGTATCGGGGTGGGGGGGTGGGGTGTGTGTGTGATAAGTAGTTTAATTCGTGGAAATTGAAATTGGTTATTTCAAATGTAAACCTTCACCTAATTCACAATTAAAAAATAAACCAAAGAAAATATTGACAGTGTCAAGCATTTCATTTTACCTGAATCCACATCCAACAGTCATGGAAGCAGCAGTCAAGAAAGCAAAAGATGCATTGCTTTGGACAAATTTGCCGCCCAAGACTTTTCCAGGTGTTAAAGGACAAATATATCACTTTGATGAGCCTAAGGTGAACCTGACCCAAGCCATGGTACTTTTAATCAATCACCTCAGATTTATGTGAAAGTTAGATGATGACGAAGGAAGACCTTGGAGGGGCTGATGCATTCAAATTAAGGTGTTGGCCAAGAGTCTTGATCGAAGTTCCATGGACAACCCGAGGAATGAACTCCTCTGTCTTAGAAGAAGTAAAATCAGAATGCCCCTTAGAAATAAGATGACCAGGCTCGAGTCCCTCTACTTTGGACATGTGATCAGGTGGGATCAGTCTCCTGCTTGGTAAAGCAGAGGGTCAGTGAACAAGAACGAGAACAAGACTGATGGATTCACACAGGGCTACAACAATGGGCTTGTCAGGCATAACAGTGGTGAGGTTGGTGCAAGACCAGGCAATGTTTCCTTCTGCAGTTTGCTTTGGTTAGCTTTGTAGAATAAAATCCAAACTCCCTGGTCTGGTATTGAGGGTGACTTAGGATCTGGCCTACCCTTAACTTTCCAGGCTCATAGCCTGCCACACCAGGCCACTCACCGACATGCAGCCCATGCCAGTTTGGACCTTGTTTTCCACGTGCCCTCAAATCTCCATGCATTTACTCAGACCATTGTGTCTATCGGCGATCCCCTTGGGTAAAGACCCTAGCGCCTTGCCCGGCCAATGGCGGAATCCCAGGAAAGGCTGTGCCTCTCCTTTCTTTGCAGCCTCTCAGTCTCCTACGCATCCTCCAACGTCCACTTCAGCATCTTTTTGGCCTTCTCAGAAAAGACTTCTCTTAGCTCTTAGCCTGACCTGTCTGTCCAGGATTATTCATTGACTGCCTCCTCCTCCTATGTCCTCAGGCACCCCTTCCCGCGCCCACATTTTGCATGCCCAGTAGAAGATTGTCAACACCTTGGTACTGGGCACAGTCATTTTCCATCTCTTTTTATCAGACGGAAAGCTTCTTAAAAGCTTGTCCTGACTCCCTTGCAAAGCCACCACCGTCTGGCCTGGGCCTTGAGCCCAGCCAGGGCTAGTCAATATTCAATTGACTTTAATTGATTCCCTGACTGCAAGGTCAGAATACCAAGCCACCAGGCAGGGTACTTTGGGACTTTAATGCCCATTCTGAATAAGTGGTCATTTATTATCCATATCCCTTTGCTTCCAAAATTGACAGGTGGTAGCCCACATTCAATAAAATTTTACAATTGGGAATAGAAAATGTAAGACTGAGCATGGAAGTAGCAAGGTGCCAACATGCTGCTAGGAGGGCGGCACAGGTCCCGCTGGCTGGCCAGGGTGGGGGTGGGGAGGGGCGGGCTCCTTCAATCTCCCTGCATTCCTTCATTCCTCCTCAAAAGCTGTCTCCCTGTTAGAAACTGCCTAAAATGCACTGAGGAGAATTTAAATTCACAGCAAATATCTCATCTTTGCAGGCTTTGGACAGGTGGTGAGGAAGGCGTGCTGGGCTTGCTGTGTGACAGCTTTGCAGTAGAGATAACCTTGTTCCTGGGGCTAAATTTAAAACACTTGGCTCCCTCTTGCCTTTAACCATGGCCCGGCACCATATTCTTTCTAGGGCTCTCTGGGATGGCTTTTTGAAGGAAGCCAAGGGCTGTCAACTTAGAATGTCAGCCACGGAAGCCATTTGAGCAGGAAAACCCACTGCGAGTTTAGAATTGTGTATGGAAATTCATTCTGCACCTCTTAGACCTGACAACTCAGATCACCGTGCACACTCGTTCACACACCACCCAGTAAATGCTCTTGTACAACGCAACAAGATATCAGGATCCTCTTTCTCTCATGCTCACACACATTCATGCTCACACAAGCACACTTAAGATCACACATGCCTGCTCACACAAACAGGTACACAGTCACATTCACCATGCACGGACACTCATACCCACACATGTACACACACACACACACACGCACACACACACACACACACGCGCGCGCGCGCATACTGGCTTCCTCACATCTGCCGTGCACACACACAGGCTCTGCAGGAAGAGACATGGGAGCCACTTTCTTTCTGCACCTCACTCTGCCTCCATATTTTGCTCCCTTAGGATAGAGCCTGCGGTGTCTGTTTAACAGATTAAATTACTCCGGGCTCCTGAGACCTCCTAACTTAATTCTGATTGCTCAAAGGTGTCACATAATTTGGGAACAAAGGGAAAAAGCAGCCTCAGACTCTGGAAGGGAAGTTCTTAGCTGTTAATTGCAATTTGGAGAAGGATGGTCTGGAGGGCAGGGCTTCCAGGGGCCAAAGCTGCAGGTCTCTGGCTTCTGGTTTCTGTGCCTGGGTCCTGGAGGACGAGGCTTCCAGGTGCAAAGCTGCAGGTCTCTGGCTTCTGGTTTCTGCGCCTGGGTCCTGGAGGACGAGGCTTCCAGGTGCACTGCTGTGGCCTCCCAGCCCTGGACCAAATTTCTGCGGCATTTCCAGGGAGCCCAACAGGGCCAAAGCACAGGCCCCGGTCAAGTGTCCCTGCAAGCAAGGAAACAGCCTGCTTTCTGCCCCCTTGTCCCTCACTCTAAAGCGACTCAACAGGTCTTTAACCGCATGGCAGGGATAGCGCTCACCCTCAGCAGATGATAAATAATCAGAGGCTAGGCTGAAAGGCTGGGAGAGGGTTGGGGTGGGCTTCCTGGCTGTAGACCCAGGGCAGCATGATGGGCCCTCCCTCAGCCCAGCTGGTTGTTCTCACACTCTCTCCCACCCAGTGCGGCATTCATGATGATTACTTAGCACGAGGGGCCCCCTCAGAGACACTTCTGGAACTGGGGTGCTACTGAATCCGAGCATGCCCTGGAGTGAGTGCCCGGACTGTGCTCATCAGCACCTGGCTGACTGCTCAGCTTGCTGCTTAGCTGGGGGGTGATTTCTTCTTGCTTCCTCGGGCAGGCTGAGGATTCTCTGCCTTCCCCTGCAGGGGCCATCCACTGCTTCTAAGTGGATCCCAGTAAACCCAGAATGCATCTGCACACAAAGACTTTAAGGGGACCTCTGTTAAGTGTGGCCTCTGGAAAAGAGTTAGGCTTTGAGGAGAGACCCCAGTGCATGTCAGCTCCCTCATTTGCTAGGGTCTTTTGAGTATACTAAGCATGGTTGAGGCTCTGGTGGGGCAATGATTAAGAGCACCTGGTTAGAACTGCTAACTGGAAAGGTTGGTAGTTTGAACCCACCACAGCAGAAAAGACCCAGGAATATGATCCCACAAGGATTAAGCCAACAAAACAATGCCCAAAACAAGCCCACTGCTGCTGAATCCATGATGACTCAGCTATCCTTTATAGGGTTTCTGAGGCTGTAAATCTTTATGGGAACAAATAGCAACTGGTGGATTTGAACCTCCAACCTTGGGACTGGCAGTCTATCGCTTACCCGGCAGCGCCACCAAGGTTCAGCCTAGGAGACCTTATGGGGCAGTTTTGCTGTCATATCGGATCACTATTGAGGGGAATCGATTATGAGACACACAACTACACCCTCTGGGAAATGAAGACAACATACGTTGGCTAGAAGATAGCTGTGGCCATGAGTAATATAAATTTATAAAGGGTGGAAAGGCAATAGCTAATCCTATAACGCTGCTGTTAAGGAAACGTGTGTGTGGTCTGTTTGTCTGTCTGCCTCTCACCTCCTCTGGGCTTCTCTTGGTCTTGGCCAACACCATCCCTTCCTGCACTACTGGGTCCCGCCACCGCCGCCAAATCTGAGTAACGCTTTCCCTTCCCGAAGCGGGCATTTAGGCTAGCCAGATGTTAGAATTATTCCCGGTTCACTAACGAGGAAACTGAGGCTCTGGGCTCTCGGGCACCCATCAGGGCAGCATGGCTGTAAGCCGCAGGCGGGCACCGGCGGGGTCCCGGGTGTATCACCCAGCACCCCGCAACTTCGGGGCC